CGTAGAATTAGGGGAGATATGATTGAGGTGTCAGCGGATGGGTCTATGAAAGATGAGGTGAATCATAGAATTGATGAGGGGAAAAGGGTGAGTGGTGCACTTAGGAGTCTGTGGAGACAAAGAACTTTGTCCTTGGAGGCAAAGAGGGGAATGTATGAGAGTATAGTTTTACCAATGCTCTTATATGGGTGTGAAGCATGGGTGATGATTGTTGCAGCGAGGAGAAGGCTGGAGGCAGTGGAGATGTCATGTCTGAGAGCAATGTGTGGTGTGAATATAATGCAGAGAATTCGTAGTTTGGAAGTTAGGAGGAGGTGCGGGATTACCAAAACTGTTGTCCAGAGGGCTGAGGAAGGGTTGTTGAGGTGGTTCGGACATGTGGAGAGAATGGAGCGAAACAGAATAACTTCAAGAGTGTATCAGTCTGTAGTGAAGGAAGGCGGGGTAGGGGTCGGCCTAGGAATGGTTGGAGGGAGGGGGTAAAGGAGGTTTTGTGTGCGAGGGGCTTGGACTTCCAGCAGGCATGCGTGAGGGTGTTTGATAGGAGTGAATGGAGACAAATGGTTTTTAATACTTGACATGCTGTTGGAGTGTGAGCAAAGTAACATTTATGAAGGGGTTCAGGGAAACCAGCAGGCAGGACTTGAGTCCTGGAGATGGAAGTACAGTGCCTGCACTCTGAAGGAGGGGTGTTAATGTTGCAGTTTAAAAACTGTAGTGTAAAGCAACCCTTCTGGCAAGACAGTGATGGAGTGAATGATGGTGAAAGTTTTTCTTTTTCGGGCCACCCTGCCTTGGTGGGAAATCGGCCAGTGTGATAATAAATAATAATGATCGAGGTGTATAAATGGAAAAACAGGAATAAATAAAGGGGATGTAAATAGCATGCTGAAAATTTCCAGCCAAGACAGGACTTGCAGCAATGGTTTTCAAGTTGGAAAAATTTAGATTCAGGAAGGATATAGGAAAGCGCTGGTTTGGTAATAGAGTTGTGGATGAGTGGAACAAACTCCTGAGTAGAATTATTTCAGGCTAAACGTTGTGTAGTTTTAAAAATAGATATATACATGAGTGGGAGTGGGTGGGTGTGAGTTGGACCTGACTAGCTTGTGCTGCTGGGTCTGGTGCCGTGCTCCTTCCTTGAGTGGAGGTGACCAGACTGGGTGGGTCATTTGGGCTAATCTGGGGGGGGGGAGGGGTCATTGGTCTAATCTGGGGGGGTTTCATTGGTCTAATCAGGGGGGGGGGGGACATGGACCTGTCTGCATGGGTCAGTAGGCCTGTTGCGATGTTCCTTCTTTTTATGTTCTTATGTAACATGTTTCTTATATAATTTTGAAGAAAATATCTTAGATGGATTAATGAAATTGTCCTACATTAACATAAAATAAGACATTTAATGTGCCCAAGACTGATTTTTATTACATAATAGAGAGAGGTGCTCACAGAGAACGTAAACAAACCAGGTGGCGCACACCGTAATTGAAAGACCGCTCACCGTATAGAAAGTTTTGGTCATAATTTAAAATCACCGTATTAGTGGAACACCGTAAGGCAAAACGCTGTAAAGTAGGGCCCTACTGTATATATATAATGAATGAGATCAGAGACTACATTTAAAACAATTGGAACAATCATTTTTATTTTTATTAACACATCGGCCAATTCCCACCACAGCAGGGTGGCCTGAAAAAGAAAAACTTTCATTGTCATTCACTCCATCACTGTCTTGTCAGAGGGGTGCTTTACACTACAGTTATAAAACTGCAACATTAACATCCCCCTTCAGAGTGCAGACAGTGTATTTCCCATCTCCAGGACTCAAGTCCGGCCCCTGCCAGTTGGAACAAGAGATCATATTTACAAGAAATGGGATCAGGGACTATATTTACAAGAAATGGTATCAGAGACTATTTTTCCAACAAATGGGATAAGAGACTTTCTCAATTTGTAAATAAATTATGAGAACTGTTTCAGTTTTTGTCTTATGGCTAGTGTTTATAATATGAACAATGTGTTACAAATGACTTAAATGATTAGTACAAATCCCAAGAATTTGGACTTGACAAGCCTAGGAGCTATTCCACAAAATCTGAGTTTTTTCTTTTTTCAAATACAGTGGAACCCCAGTTTTTGTATGCCCCAGCTTGAATGTAAAACCACAGTTCTCTATAAAATGTATTTTTTATTATTTCCCATAAGAAATAATGTAATCCAATTAAATCCATTCCAAACACCCAAACATATAAACAAAAATACATTTTATGAAGAATAACTGTGGTTTTACACGTAAGCTGGGTAAGCTGGGGCATACGAAAACTGGGGTTCCAATGTATATTAACATTAAATTTATAAAAATTACAGTGTATGTACATTTATAGTAAAATTTAAAAAAAAAAATGCAGAAATTTATAATGAATAAGATTTAATTTGCCACAATTAATAAATATCAAATAAAGGCTACTCACTTTTTTAGCAATCCTTTCTTTTAGCTCAGGAGAGAGCCAATCAGCTGTAGTCACCTGAAGTCGCAGATCAACTTTGGTATTAATTTTATTGACATTTGTCCACCTGGTCCATTACTACGTGAATAAGTCACTTGCACCTTGTCTGCAAAATAATATTTTGTTCTAAAAAATGCAAAGCTAAGTATCGTTACAATACAGTACAGCCTCTCCTCACTTAGCAACGTACTCATATACCGATGCCTCGGACTTACGAAGGGCTCTCTGACCACTATTCATATCTAAATAATGTATATTAAGGCTGATTTCCTCTATTCTGTTTATTTCAATATAAACATTTAAAAATATACCAGAAATGTTATGAATGGTGCAAAGGTGACATTAAAACAATATCAAAGATGGTTGACACAAACTCACTCATTATAGTATGCTCCTCACTTAGCGACGAATTCGTTTAACGACGTAGTCTTAGGAACGGAACTCCATCATTAAGTGAGGAGAGTCTGTACACCAAATTTATAATTACAGTAGTGAATGACACAACAGCAGCATGATTTACAAGAAGTAGTGAGTGTGCAGTCAGGCAGTGGTCACCACGGATTAACAGATGGTCAGTCAGCAGAAAGATAGTACTGCAGGAAACACAAGCAATGTAAAGATATAAGCCTTATGTTATCTATTAGTGGTTCTGGATATTGTGTTCCCCACAGTTAGGTTTCAGACAAGCCTCCTAGGTTGGAAAGTTGACATCAGAGGATTAACCCGTAAACGGTCCAAATGTATATACAGTGGACCCCCGGTTTATGATATTATTTCATTCCAGAAGTATGTTCAGGTGCCAGTACTGAACGAATTCGTTCCCATAAGGATATTGTGAATTAGATTAGTCCATTTCAGACCCCAAACATACACGTACAAACGCACTTACATAAATACACTTACATAATTGGTCGCATTGGGAGGCGATTGTAAAGCGGGGTTCCACTGTATACGTTTTTTCAACATTTGAAAGTATGTAAAAAAAAGTAGATCTTCTTTTTGTTTTTTTACATTTGAAAATGTGTAAAAAAACTTTGATCTACTTTTTTTTTTGTTTATATTTGAAAATATGTAAACAAAACGTAGATATACTTTTGTAGCACTACACATGCGAACGTAGATCTGCTTGGACCGTTTACGGGTTAAGAACTACTAAGTAGCACAAAAGTAAATGTACAGTACCGCCCTGTTTACGACGTTTCGCCTTACAGTGTTCCGCTAATATGGCAACTTCAAATTATGACCCAAACTTGTTATACAGCAACCTACCTTTCTAATATGGCACGTGCCATCAGGTTTGTTTTACGTTCTCTGTGAACACATCTCTTTATGTCATGGAACTTTCCAAAATTTCAAGTGTTTTACAGATACACATTAAAATCACTAAGAATTTCCCTCTAGCCTTAACACCATCTTCCATATAATGATACATTATAATGATATAAAGATACATTAATGATATAATGATACATTAATGATATAATGATACATTAATGATTACATGATACATTACTGTTGAACGACAGTAAGTAAGTAAGTAAGTAAGTAAGTAAGTTTATTCAGGTATACACAAATACAGTTACATAGAATTATCATACATAGCAGCATATGTGTAGAGAACCTAGGATAACCAAAAAAGTCAGACAGAGTGACTTATTTCCATTGGGGTCCTTTTACCTTATTTTATAGTATAAAGGTTATAATATTTTCTTATTATTCTACAATGAAGATAACATCTTATTATCATACTAAAAAGACTATCTGCTACACCAAGGTCATTAAGACTATCTACAATACGAGGGTCATTACAAGGAATAAGGTAAAATTTACACGTATGTTAGCTAAAAAATAGAAAATCATTCCCTCCCTTTCTGTAGCTACATTCATCAGACACTTTTGGCACTCTTCTTGAACTGGTTCACGCTATGACTGGCTTTGACATGTGCGGGTAGTCTGTTCCATTCCTTTATTGCTGTACAATAAAAGGTGTTTGAAGCCTGGCCACTGACTGTGGGTACTACAAAGTTGTGCTCTCTCCCCTAGTACTATGATTGCTTGGTTCCCAACCTTGACAAAATTGACAGCAAGATATTCTGGACATTGTTTGTGAGCAATTTTATAAACATGATTTAGCTCAGTTGTTTTACTCTGTCTTCAACATTCAGCATATCCAACTGCTGTAATTCATCCTGGCCTACATGTTCTCTTGGTCCCAGCCCCAGGATGAATCTTACGATTTTGTTCTGGGTGATTTGCAGTCTATCTTTCAGTTTTTTTTGTCAAGGCAGAGTACCAAGAAGAGCAAGCGTAATCCATATGGCATTGTATAAGGGCTAGACATAGGGTCCTGCGAGCCTCAGTAGGTAGACACTGTGCTTGTCTATACAGGAACTTCAGTTTGGCATTCGCTTTCTTTACTACACTGTTCCCTATCAATTTCTCTGACATGCATGGGTCAAAGGGGATTCCCAAATATTTTACTGATGAAACCAAAGTGATGGGCTCCCATTACATTGAACATTAAAATTATTTACCCTTCTCAGTTTATATTTCGTGCCAAAGAGAATGGCTTCAGTTTTCCCTAGGTGTAATGATAGTTGTGTTGTCTACTAACCATTTGCTGCAGGACTCCAGTTCCAGTGTTAAAACATTAGCAATATCTTGTGGGTCTTTACCTGACACTAACAGAGCACTGTCATCTGCATACACATGATCAATACAATATAAAGTACTGTATATTAAGATTTCTACTACAAAAAGTTAATGTATACTGTGCCATATCGTATGCTACATATTAAAAGTCAGACAAAAGTTTCACATATAAGATATAATAATAATGATTAAATAAAAAATAAAGAGAAACTTACTCATTGGCACATATCCAGAAAAATTGAGGCCATCAGTTTTTGGAGGCTGGGGAATAAAGATGCAAATTAATTTATCTTTCACAGAGATAGTCATTCTATACTTATACAAACATGAACATACATACAAATATTATATTTATTATTAATTACCATAGTAACTAAAAATCTCAAAAAAAAAAAAAAGAAAAAAAAAAATCCATATAAGGTGAGCCTTTGTTTTTGGACCAATAACACTGGTCAACAACCGATATGCTTCCGAGACCAAGGTAGTAATTTTCAACTAATTTTAGGTCACTGATAATGAATATCATGGTTAAAATTGTTTGTTAGCTTACTTTTCAATATACACCTAAGTGTCACAACATGTTCCAACAGGCTTGCAGCAGTGTGTTTCTTACCACACTCACAGTCTCACTGCCCTTCATTATTGTTCCAGCAGTCATATGAAGATGGTTGTGCTGTGCAAGTTTATATTTTGAGCTGAAAGGTAGGTGATTTTCTTAGACAAACACTCTTGTGATGGGCTTGCAGGGCAGATACACAAGTACTGCTACTTTCTATGTGAATGGGACAGCCATGCAAGAGGTTCCCACTACATCAGAGAGACTGGCCACCTCGTCAACTGGAGCCTGGGATGAAAAATGTTCAACATCCACCTCTCACTGAACCAAAATATTGCTACCACCACTACACATAAAACTGGGCTTCATTTAGATTATGTTGTACAGTTCTGGTCACCGTATTACAGATGAATATACAGTGGACCCTCGATCAACGATGGCATCGTCTAGCGTTAAATCCGACTAGCAATATATTTTAACGCAAAAATTTTGCCTCGGCTAGCGCTAAAAAACTCAACCAACGCAATTCGTTCCATTCGAGACGCGTCCACTTGTGGCCAGTGTTTACAAGCCAGCCAGCCACCACGGTCCCATCCAAACATACAATCGGAACATTTCATATTATCACAGCGTTTTTAGCAATTGCACCTGCAAAATAAGTCACCATGGGCCCCAAGAAAGCTTCTAGTGCCAACCCTACAGCAAAAAAGGGTGAGAATTACTATGGATATGAAGAAAGAGATCATTGCTAAGGGGTTGGAGGTTAGTGGGGAGGATGTGGAAGAGTTGGTGGAGGACAACAATGATGAACTAACCACTGATGAGCTGCAAGATCATCTTCAACAGCAAGAGGCCAGACCTGAGGAAACTGCTCCGGAGGAGGGGATAGAGAAATTGAGGAAGTTGCCTACTTCAAAGACTAAGGAAATGTGTGCAAAGTGGGTTGAAGTGCAAACCTTTTTTGATGAAAATCACCCTCACCACGCTACTGCAAGCCGTGTTGGCAACCTGTACACTGACAATGTTATGGCCCATTTTAGGAAAGTCTTAAAGACACAGGAGGTACAGAGCTCTATAGACAGATATGGTATGCGACAGAGGTCCAGTGACTCTCAAGCTGGTCCTAGTGGTATTAAAAGAAGAAGGGAAGTAACCCCGGAAAAGGACTTGACACCTCAAGCCCTAATGGAAGGGGATTCCCCTTCTAAACACTAACACCATTCACACTCTCCCCTCTCCCATCCCATCAATCATCACCAGATCTTCAATAAAGGTAAGTGTCATGTAATTGTACATGTCTTCTTCAGTTTGTGTGTATTAATATTTCATGTGGTAAATTTTTTTTTTTTTCAATACTTTGGGATGTCAGGAACGGATTAATTTGATTTCCATTATTTCTTATGGGGAAAATTAATTCGACTAACGATAATTTCGACTAACGATGAGCTCTCAGGAACGGATTAATATCGTTGGTCAAGGGTCCACTGTAAATGCACTGGAAAACGTACAGAGGAGGATGACAAAGTTGATCCCAATTATCAAAATTTCCCTATGAGGATAGGCTGAACCCCGAATCGCACCTCTAGAAAGGGTGTAAATTTTTGGGGGGATAGACTGGGGTTTATAAATGGAAAGCGGGAAATGAAAAAAGGGGGATGTAAATAGCATGAAAAATTCTAGCCAAGATAACTCGCAGCAAGGGTTTTAAGCTGGAAAAATTCAGTTTCGGAAGGATAATAGGAAAGACGGGTTTTGGTAAATAAGTTGTGGAGTTTGGAACAGCCCTGAGTATCGTTATAGAAGCTAAGATGTTGTGTTTTTTAAAAAAATAGGTTAGATAAATACTAGTGGGTGTGGATGGGTGGGGTTGGATCTGACTAGGGGACTATACTGGTCTGATGCCATGCTCCCCCCAAAAGGGAGGTGACCTACTGGGGGGGCCATTGGTCAAGCTGGGGTTGACATGGACCTCCCCTGCATGGGCAAGTAGGCCTGCTGCAGGTTCCTTCTTTTTATTTCTTATTTCATAAAAAAACTTTGTGAAAGCTTGGTAAACCCCGGTCAGGTCCTAATTTTCAAGAGCTTTTTTAAAAGGGGGTAACTTTGAATCAGACTTCATGGGGGGAGAAAGCTGTTTGGGGAAAGATTCAAGTTAGTGACGAAGGGTTTTCTTGGAAACAAAAGAGAAGGAACATGAAAAATTTTGTGAAAAAACCTCATCAAAGCTTGAAAGAACATGGATGTACATGTCATTTAAAAAATTCATTTTTTGGATCATTTTTAGACTTTTCCAGTGAACTGGGGGGCTTAGTGATGAACATGGGAAAAAGGTTTCACCAAGAAGTTTTTTTCAACCATGGAAAAATGGTACCAGGGCAAATGGGGCACAAGAATGCTTGCAGACTATTACGGGGACATTGGCACGAGATGATTACAAAAACCTGCACTAAAGAAGGAGCTTACACGACGTTTCAGTCCAGCCTGGACCTTTTACAAATCAACAGTCACAAAAGTTAGTGTGCCCTTCAAAAGGGTCAAAGCGGGGACTGAATTGTCGTCTAAGGCCCCTTTTCTATGTGCATGTTTTTGCGTTTTGTTCCAGTCCAGTAGTGGCCTTTTTGCTTTTGTTATTGAAGAGATATTCTTCACCCCACTATAAATGTCAAGCAAAATTGTAGGGAGTAAGTACGATTGAGTTTACACCAAAAGACCAACTTTGTAATTTTTTAATAAAATAATAAAATATTACATGTTCTTATCTTTAAACCCTAACCAATAAGATTTTTCAAGTGACTTTTGGGATTCAGGACTGAAAATACACAAAAATTAACAAACTCATTTAAATGCATACAATTTTTTCAAAAAAGGGTTTTTGAACAGTGTTTTGCACAAGTTGAACTTTTAAGACTAAAAAAGATATGACAGGTTTATATATATTTTCCCATCACATAAATGAGGTAGGTGTAGCAAGGCATGGTGGGACGGCAGAACAGGGGCAATGCCCCCCATGGTTGGCAGCTGCAATTTTCCCTTTGGGTACATCTTTTTTGAACTGAACAGGTAACTAAAATGGAAGGAAAATACAACAAACAGAAATTATCATATCAATTTCCCCAAAAGACTATGTTAAGTGGCTTAAGTTTACCCGGAGGGGCCCGAGTGTATGCTTCTTTTCTGACAATGTCTCCCATTTCTGAAAAACAAGTAGCACAAGGAGTGGCATGAAACTATACTCCCAAAATCTGACTATAGGTTCTATTTTTCATAAATCCTTAAATCCACTTTGTCTTCCTTCTGATGACAGCCCAGTGCATTCTCTCTCTTGTGACTGATCTCCCCGGGTTCTCCACTTTTTTAGCCCAGTCTGATAACATGGGTTTCACTATCATATGGTGTCCCCGTGGCCTAATGGCAAAAGCCTCGCTTCAATGGGGGGGTCCGGGTTAATTCCAGGGGAAGGGGGGGAAAAATTAAAATGTTTCCCTTTCCGGTTTCAAAGTTCACCCATCAGTAAAATGGTTACCCGGTGTTATAGACTGGTGGGGTCCATCCTGGGGGCAAACTGGCCTAATTTCCCAAATCTCTGCATAACAAGTGGCTTTTTTTTAGTAGTACTGTACTGATTCGCTGGCATGTATGCCTTGTACATCTTGTAGTACCTAATTTTGAACCCTTTTAAGAGTTTCAAGGTTTGTCTACCTCTGACCCCGCCCTGGGGCCGGTCATCTGGTGCTTGCCTGGGCAACCAGGGTGTTGCTGCTGGTGGCCTACTGCCCCACATATCCCTCACAACCTGCCCGATTCCCCCTGGGGAAATCTCGTCCAGTTTTCTCTTTAAGGCTTCTACACTTGTTCCAACCCTGTTTTGATATCTTTTGGTAAATGTTTAAAAGTTGGGACCCCCCGGTGTTGAACGGCATCCCCCTTTTTGTCTCCACTACACCCCCCGCTTCTTAACCGGTTTATTTTGCACTTCCCCCCCTATCTCTCACTCCAGTATGTTGTTATGGAAGTGTGTAGATTTGGGACCAGGCCCTCGAGTACTTTCCAGGTATATATTATCATGTATCTCTCTCTCCTCTGCTCCAATGAGTACATGTTCAAGACTTGAAGGCATTCCGAGTAGTTTAGGCGCATTACTGGCTCAATGTGAGCCATAAATGATCTCTGTATTTGTTCCAGCTCTGATATTTCTCCTGCTTTGAACGGGGCTGTCAGCACTGAGCAATATTCTAAGTGAGGAAGCACTAGTGATTTGAAGAGTGTCACCATCGACATTATTTCCCTTGTTTTGAAAGTTCTCAATACCCACCCCATCATCTTCCTGGCTGTCGTGATCTTTGCCTTGTTATGGCCTTTCAGGGTCGAGAGGCCCTCTCCTAAACTCGTTCTCAGGGTCGAAAATTTTTCAGAAAAAAAAAATTATTTTTTCTTATGAAATGATAGAGAATCTTTTCCCGATCATAATGACACCAAAAGTATGAAATTTGATGGAAAACTTACGGAATTATGCTCTCGCGAAGTTAGCAGTCTCGACGATGTTTACGCATAGGCTATTTCGCCCACTTTGAGCCCTATTTTCGGCCAATTCCTATGTACTAGTCGACAAAAATTATATTTATTCCGCTAGAACTCCATTTTTTCTATCGAATGAGTACAAGAAACCACCCATTTACCTATTTCAACTGTCCAATAAAGTGATTAGAAATTGGCAATTTTGCCAATTTCACGCAAATTTCAGAAGATGCCAATTTCCAAACAGGGTCCAGAATAAACAAGACAGACATTCCTGGCACTAAAATAAGTCCTCTGTTCATTAGTCACATCCCCACGCCCCTCTTACATTTCTTTTGCTTTCCACTTTGAATTTTTATTCTCACAAAAAATAAAAGATTTACTGTTATGCAGACTACTGCATTAGTGTAGAAATGGAATAAATAATATCAGAGCACTCGTGAAAGAATATTAGACTCACCAGTTGACGTTTATTGGATGCCTGGCATGATTTGTTTACTTTTGAACTTTGGTAAAAATCGAACATTTCTGCTACTTTGAGCTCAATTTCAAGGTACTTTTCATTGTGAAACCAATCAAAATCATCTCAATTTCTGTAATATGTCTTCCATTCTATAAAATGAGACCAGGAAAACTAGAATACAACCATAAATACCATACGAAAATACAGTGAAAAGTCGCTGTTTTAATCCAAAAACACGGTCAAAGTTTTTTTTTTCATTACGTACTGTGTGCTGCAGGATTTTTTTTTTATACTGCGCACACTAACCATATAGACCCATTCTTTCATATGTAGGCCTACCAGCTTTCTCTTGCTAGATTTGAAGGCGCTAGAATTTAGGCGTTCTAGTATGTCAATAACCCTGATGCGTAAGCCGTACTAGTACATCGGAAACCCTGAAAGGGTTAAAAGAAAGGTCAGATGACATAATTATTCCCAGTGCCAAGTGTTTTTATCTGTCTGCTATGAGGATGAGAAACAGCAGAGGAGCCAGGACAGTGCCATGGGGCACTGAGCTTTTGACATTGCTGATGCTGGATCTTGCCCTGTTCACTACTACTGTTTGTGTTGTGTGTGTTAGGAACCCAAAAATCCATCTGCCTACTTTCCCCATAATGCCCATGGACATCATTTTGTGCGCTATCACTCCATGATCGCATTTGTCAAATGCCTTTGTAAAATCTGTGTAAATCACATCTGCGTTTTGGTCATCTTCCAATGCCTCCATAACTCTGTCATAATGGCTCAGAGCTGTGACAGGCACGATCATCCTGCTCTAAAACCATGCTGGTTCGGGTTATGCTGGTTGTGTTGGTCCACGAAATTTGTATTCTGCCATCTCATCACTCTTTCAAAGATTTTTATGATGTGAGAAGTTAGGGCTACTGGTAAATAAAGATATTATTACATATTAAGCGAGCAATATAATTAGGCCTAAAAAAAGGCATATACGGTATGCATATTATTACTTTAAATATTTCTGTCCTTGGCTTATAATGAATATATTTATTGAACATTAAAATGGTATTAAATACCGACAGGTTGTTAGGTAAGACATATATGCAACAGTTAGGTATCTTTATTACGAATAAAGATACCTAATAAAGATACCTAACTGTTGCATATGTGTCTTACCTAACAATATATTTATTGTAGAAAGTCTGAATAAATGAAGAATGGATATAATTGAAAACTGCTGTATGTATTAGAGAAACGCTGTAAAGCGGAGCCTGCCTGTACTACCTTTATCACATATTACACAGGTGATGTAGTGGATCTAGCAAAGTCCTGGATAATTTTCTTTTCAATATTAGCAAAGCGACACTTATCCTGCACTTCTGAATGAAGTGACAGTGGTGGTGGTATAACCTGTTGGTAAAAAATAATTCATCTGTAGTTTTAATCTGCTTTAGGGTATCAAGAATTTGTTGAGAATTTCAACTGCATTCCTGAGGAATTTCAGAAAAGCAAAATTATCAGCAGTGTTCATCCTAGCTTTTTCCTTAGCACATGCAAGACATACAGCAGTTACTTTCTCGAAGAATTCTGCAACATCACTAAAATTTTCTCTACATTTAAATGTACTGTACCCCAGACACAACATTCAGGAATGTAGATGAAAATCTCAACAAATACACTGATATCAGCAGATAAATAATTTTACCAATAGAAAATACAGTAATTTCTAAGTGGGGATTTATCAAGTCCCATTGTGGATAAAACATCATAATTAAGGTTTTTTATTCCAGAGGCGTCTTTCAAATTATCACCGACTGACTCATGTCATATCTACCAACCAGATAATACTGTCAATTCCACTGCCTGGACACTTAGGACTATAGAGCAGAGCTCTTCTGCAGGCTGTGGGGCTGACCATCACATAGCTATTACTTCAAGGGTGATGGACTAATTACATCATCTTTATATCTTCACTGTTCCTGCTGCCTCCTCTGTATGTATTTGACACAAGCAGCCTACTCTACAAGCAAAATGTTTTGGAATAATGATACCTAATTGTTGCACATGTGTCTTACTTATCGACTTATTGATACTGTATACCATTATCAGTTTCACAAGATCCATGTTATTTAGTTTATACATGTTATAGTTATTCTTTATTTCACTGTACAGATTAAGCTTCATCTGCCACTTTTCCAACCATAATATCAACCTACCTAAATCATCCTGTAGTACCCTTAGTGTCCTCATAAATTATTTGGAGACCTTTTTTTTTTGCGTCATAGGCACATTTACTTATGTAGCCCCACGAAACTTATTAATTTACATTGTACACAATATGGAAAAAGTAGGTATTTTTTTACACAAATAAACAGCACACAGGAAAAAGAAACTTATGATGATGATTCGGTTTGACATAGACATTAACTAATCACAATAACTAGTCCGTGTGACTAGTTAATGGTCCAAGTCAGACTAACATCGTCCTAATTTTCATTCTCCTACGTGCGGGTTATTTGTGTATTGTTCTAGACAGGGTATTGTCCCTTTTTATTCTTTCAATTCATTTCAAATTCAAAGTTTATTTTCTATAAGGATTACAATGCTGAGTTTACAGAATTTGGTTATTGTGTGGTTTACATGTAGTAAAATACTAATTACAGAGGGTGCCACTAGAACACCTAGCATGGCTAGGCATTTCGGGCAGACTTAGATTAATTCTTAAATTTAAAATACAGTGGACCCCCGGTTAACGAACTTTTTTCATTCCAGTAGTATGTTCAGGTGCCAGTACTGATCGAATTTTTTC